TCAGACAAGTTCGGGCTAGCCTGGGCCATCGATATTTAGGGCACTCTGCATCTATAGACAACAGCCAACGGCAGCTTTCAATAGAATGTCAGGAATTCAGGTTCTATTGGCAGGACGTAAGAAGAGAAGAGATTGGATTTATACCCCGTCCTTCATGTGGAGTCTCAGAGCGACTTACAATCCCTTTCCCTTCCCCCAACAGGCAACCTGTGAGGTAGGTGGGGCTGAGAGAGCTCTCCTGAGAACTGCCCTTGAGAGAACAGCTCTGAAGGAACTTACGACCGATCCAGTGTCACAGTTCCTAACATCAGACGTGAGCTCACTAATAGTCTTCTAGTGGCAGCAAAAACAGCGATTGCCCTAAAATGGAAGATCTCTCTGGTACAACAAGGGTCTGGGAGCACTTTGTGCCGGAAAAGACCTCAGACTATCTTCTCCAGCCTGAGATTTATCAGAAAATGAGTCAGTTTACGGAAAAATGGTTTCCATTTCTTGAATATGTCACTACAAATGATGTTCAACCATATGATCCCCCTCACTGGACTCTGCTGCATCTTTAAATATCAAGAATCTAGATAGATTTGCTACATCCTTGATTGATGCAATGCTTGGCTGTGCAGCACTTAAAACTGGCACTAATAGACAACCCTCGCTGTTTATGACGTGCACGGATGAAATATACTGTTTTAGTTACTGCTAGTATGTTCACGAAGTTCAATTACTATAACTCATTGATTGTAAATATTTCCTAGTTGTGCTATAAACCTTATAAGATATTAATAAGCATTTTAAAATTTAAAAAAATCAAATTTGTAATGATTGCATTTTTGGTGTGTTTGTTTCTTTAAATGTTTAGTATGACTGCAGTAATATAAGGAGAGTGATAGAGGGATACAAGTGTGATGTGATTGGCTGATGACTGAGTGTGGGAGGAGAGATGTCTCTGTGGGAATTCTGTGTTCTTGGAGATTTTGTGTGAGAGTTTGTATGACAGAGCAAGCAGTTGGAGTTTAGTTCAGCCTGTGTGGCTATATGAGCAAGAAAGTAGCCTGTGTGGCTATATATAAGCAAGAGAATTCAGCCTGTGTGGTTATATGAGCAAGAAAGTAGCCTGTGTGGCTATATACAAGCAAGAGAGTTCAGCCTGTGTGGCTATATGAGCAAGAAAGTAGCCTATGTGGCTATATATAAGCAAGAAAATTCAGCCTGTGTGGTTATATGAGAAAGAAAGTAGCCTGTGTGGCTATATACGAGCAAGAGAGTTCAGCCTGTGTGGCTATATATATATGAGAGAGAGAGAAGCCTGTCAGAGTTGAGTTTTGGTGTATGAGAGACTGTGTGACGCCAAGCTTTGTCGGTTATATTTTCTTTTGTCAACAATGGTTCAAAAATACCCAGAAACCTACTTTGTTCTTTTATAAATAAATCATTATTTGTTTAAACTTATCCCAGCAATCAGAACAGTCCTTCCTCAGGGTAACATAGTCCTCTGAAGCGCCCAGACCCTGGGTCATTCTACCAAAACAGATTTGGAATTTTTAATTCCTGGTGGCAGCAGAAATCTACCAAGTTCAAGTACACAGAGTGTGTTTTAAAGGAGAAACAGTCTCCCCAGTAAGCGAGGACGACACACAAGTTCTATACAACATCTCCCTCCCACACTCTAAGCAGTTCTGACCATATTTTCCAGGTCTGTTCTCATCCATATCTAGTCAGTTTCCATGCAGAATACATATATCCACAAGGCAGTCGTTGCTGTCTGTGGTGCAAAGCCCTTTCCAACTGAGGGGCAAGTCTGATTAAAATTCAAGTCAGAGCCTTCTGAATCGTGGCCCTGGCTTCATACAGACAAAAATACATGCTTCTTCAACTCACTTGTAATGTAGTTGGATAAAGGTTTCAGAACATATTGTTGAGGATGCAAAAAGACGGCCTCCATAGGATAGAACATGGCCAGTCGGTGTAACTGGAAAAGGAGCTGGCCAACACGGCAGAGGTTTCGGGAGGGAATCTGTGAAAAAAGTGGGAGATCCCAGGTTACCTCTTGCTGGCATGGGAAAGATGGAATGTTGTAAAGCTCTACAGCCCAAAGGGAAGTACTGTTGTGTAGAAGAGGAGGAGGAGATTGATTTATACCTCGCCCTTCACTACCTGAAGGAGTCTCAGAGCGGCTTACAATCAGTTTTTTCCCCCTCCCCACAACAGACACCCTGTGAGGTAGGCGGGGATGAGAGAGCTCTTTTGAGAATTGCCCTTGAGAGAATAGCTATGAGAGAACTTGTGACTGACCCAAGGTCACACCAGCAGCTGCATGCGGAGGAGTGGGAAATCAAACCCGGTTCTCCCAGATTAGAGTCCGCGCTCTTAACCATGACACCAAACTGTAGGACACATTGGATCCACAATATCTCCCATGTTAACACCTGTATTCCTAGTGGCCCCTCCACCATAGCACTGTTATCTGCTTCTCACTTTGGTATGGTCAACAGCCTCACGAAGCTAAGTTTAATTGCATCGCAAGGACACAAATACACTTAAGCTGGCTATCAGGAAATTGTCATGATTATATGGTAAGTCTTAAGGGCTGGAAAACAAAGAAAAGATGGTGGTGGGGGAAATCACAGAGATTTTTAAAGAAAATAGATGTCAAGTGATAAAAATCCTTGTGTTGAAACATTTATTTTATATATTTTTTTTTCCCTCCCACAAAATTTTCACAAAAGAGTATTGAAACTCAAAAAAGGAATTAGACTTAAGTCAAATACAGAGATGAAATGTACAAGATAAAATGAGCAGGCGAAACGTAAAAAGGTCTTGGAAGTTCTGTTTGTTTTACTTCAGACTGAGAGAGAGAAAAAGAACAGTTCAACTGTTCGGTTTAAATAAAAGATTTGCAAGATATACAGTGTTTTTTTTATTAATACAATGCTGGTCAGTTTGAGGCACTGTGAATACCTCAATTCATTCCTTCATGCTCTTTTTTTTTCTTCTGTCTTCCTTCTTCTCATTAGAAAGATACCGTTTACCAAAATGAAACTTGAGTACAGTCCCGGAAAGGCTATTTTTTCCATTAAAATTTATGAAAACCATAAATTGAGGCAAACCTAAGATTCCCAATGGAATCAAGATTATCTTCCCGCGACTACCACATTAAAAGAATCAACATGCTTAGTGGGAGCACCAGTCTCTGCATTCTGACAGAACATCTGTTTCCAACAGAGGGAGAATCTCAAAAAACAAAAAAAGTCAGCATAGTTAAAGTGTAATATGGATTTACACGTTACCCGTCCGTTAACAGCTTTTGCCTAACAGCAGCTAATACCGGGATTAATGTAATTTAGAATTTGTTCCCTGGAAGCAATTGAAAGTAGGTCTACATTTACCCACCACTGCCCCAAAATTAACTCCAATATTTTATAAGTCATCTAATGTGACACTCTTGTGCTAAATACCAGGAGCCCAAATCCAGTTGTTTTGAAAAGATACGATCCCCCCTCCCCAAAACGGTGGATCAAAAATTTAACGTGTCATCAAGTCAGCATTCCCATTTTTTCCCCTTTTAGGTTAGTGTTCTTGAGCATTCCTTACGGGTGGAAATGTTTTATTCTCCCCCCTCCCCCGTTTCCATTAAAAAAAAAATAACAATGCCTTTGACCAGGTTGAGTGTTGTTTTACATACATATAATAGAAGTTTTCAGTCATGACAGTTTTGGTCGTGTTGCATTATTTTATTTAAAAAGCTTTTGCACTGATCAGTGCATATTAAAGGTCAGGTTGGTCGGCAGTAGATAAAAGAAACATCTAAAAGCTATTATTCCTTGATAAAAGGATCATCATCGTCATCATTCTCCAGACTGGATACACCAAATTCAGCCTTGCATACTCCTCACACACACACACACACACACACACACATTCCTCTTCAAAGAAAAAAGGTTACAGTAAATGTCACTTTACATTCTAATCATTAAAGTGCTCCAAATCTTTTTTCTCTTTTGCAAAAAAAAAATAATGCAAGTGACTACAACTCTATACATTCCCATTTTGCATTCATAGTATGAACTTCTTAGTGTCTTTCACGGCATGGCTGAATTAGGAAACATCCAAACGTTTATGGATTTTAAAGGGGGGGGGTTTGAAGGGAGGAGAAAGATCGACAACCCAGTGAAAACACAGAAGATATGAGAAAAAATGTCAGCTCTTCAAGACAGCAATACAAATTTATTTCCATTATTGAAGATGTGTTTTAATCCTTAAAGGGCAGATTAAAAATACCTCAAAGCGGAACGCTCGAGTTTAAAAAAAAAATCAACTACATTTTTTTTTCCTTTTTAAACATTTTTTTTTCCTCCTAAAGGACTTTTAAAAAAAAAAAAATGAACTGAACGAAGAGGGGAAGGAAAGAAGTGGGGATGAAGGTTAAAAAGGCACAAAAATCAAAAAGAAAGGCAAAGGATTTCGCAGAGTTCCTGAAATGCAGACATTACTAACCAACCCTCATTTGTTTTAATGCAACAAAACAGGGCAAAGCCGTGGCGTCCCCCTCCACCACCCCCCCAAAGTAGCTTTGTTTCCTTTGAGAAGAGAGAGGGGGACACTTTGGGTAGTATCCAGAATATTCCATTGCCTGTGAGGATGCCACTTCAGACACAAAGTGAAAGTTCACTCTTCTTCCCACTGAGGAATCGGAGATCAGAGTTGACATTGGGTGTCAGGTAAATTACCCCTTTTTATAAAAACGTATCTTTGCCCCCCACCCGCCCCTCCCAAGAAGGAACTTGTGCAGACCCATCGATGTGCTACTAACTTCAATGCTCAAGGAGAAAGAAAACGAATTCTGAGCCACACAAATCACGTTTGTTGGATGTTAAGCTGACAAATTCAAATGTTTTCTTCTTTTGAAATGAATAAAGGGGGGGGGGAGTGGGACCCGGGTCAAAAATAATTTAAAAATTATCATGCAGGAATTTTTTTTTTTTTTTTACTTTCTGTCTCCTTTGTAGTCTGGGCTTCCCCCAAAACACAGGTGCCCCCCCCTTCTCGCTTTTTAATGGTTTGACCCGTTCTGAGTTCACGACCAGCCCCGCCCTAAACACACTGAGTCCCACGCCCTCATGAGGTCATCATAAAAGCTTTTGGGAGATATTTATTTTACATTCAAGCTTTTATATATCCTAAACAACCCTGTTGTAGCATATGCCTTTTCGGGAGCGGCTTTTTCCTCCTCTTCCCCTCCCCCCCCCCATTGTTGCTGTTATCAGTCTTCATGATCTGTTCCGTGGCAAGCTGGAAAACTTATAACACGCCGCTAATCAACGTTGTCGGGTTTCTCCCCCCCCCCCCACAGTCTTGGGAGAGTCCAGACGAGACCTGGGGAGTCGCTGTCCAACTTATCCTTGTGGCACGAGGCCATCACACACAGAAGAACAGTTCACCGTCCAGAAAAGGGAAAACTATCTACAAAGATCCGAAAGGACCGGGTCCCTCTTGTGTTTCCTTTTCTTCCCGTAATACTGGTGTGATTTGCTGCCCGGGTGTGGCTTGTTAGTCACCAAGGTACCGTGGCTTGAATTGGCTGGACCTTGGAAGCCTTTGTTGGAAGAAGCGCGGAACAGCCGCGTGGATCCGTGCTGCAAAGGAAGAAAGGGAGGGGTATGAGCACGCCGTGTTCCCATGACCGAAAAAAGGCAAGCGACGCTGGGTGCCGCCACCGCAAGAGGTCCTGTGAAAATCAGGGCAACAGGAGGATGCAAAGGATTTTGGACACATCTCCGTGCTTCAAGAGTCTTCTCGCCCCTTTCACCCCAGGGGTGGCATTCAGGGCAACCTGGACAACCTGGAAGAGCAAGACTTTGAGTCCAGCAGTGCCTTAACGACCAACGAGATTTCCACGGTGTAAGCTTTCAAGAGTCAATGCCAATGTTCCCTCTAAGCTGAGTTAGTGTGAGCTGAGCTCACAGTTTTTTTCTTCTCTGGTTCACACATTTTTGCCTTCGCTCAGGAAGGAGGGCTCCAGAGCAAACCAATTTATGCAGCAGCCACACTGCTCGCTCACAACTTTAACGCCAGTCGCTCACAAAGTAGCATTTTTGTTCACAAGACTCCGCAGCTTAGAGAGAGCATTGGTCAACGCTCTCTTCATCAGATAATTGCCAGGAATCCGGCGGAGGGAGTTTTGACTCTCGAAAGTTGGGATCTTGGAAACCTCGTTAGTCTTTAAGACGTCGTTGGACTCAGATCTTGGTCTCCTACCACAGACCGACTTGGCTAACCACCTCAAACTGGCCTACGGAGCGATTGTCGTCATCGCCTTAGGGTCTCATCTCATCTTTTATTTGTGTTAAGAGAGAGAGAGAAATAGAAACATCTAGCAAATTGAATGACGGGGTTTCTGTTTTAACCAGAAGATTACCCCCACGCCTTAAACAATTATTGGCTCTTTTTCATACTTCTTGTTCTTGTTGACACACTGCACTATTCTGGACTGTGGCAGATTGGAAGGAGGAGGAGGAGGAGGAGGAGATTGGATTTATCCCCCGCCCTTCACTCCCCAAAGGAGTCCCAAAGCGGCCGACAATCTCCTTTCCCTTCCCCTCCCCACAACAGACACCCTGTGAGGTAGGTGGGGCTGAGAGAGCTCTTTCCAGAACAGCCCTTGAGAGAACAGCTCTGACCAGAACTATGGCTTGCCCAAGGTCATCCAGCAGCGACAAGTGGAGGAGTGGGAAATCAAACCCGGATCTCCCAGATTAGAGTCCGCGCACTTAGCCACTGCACCAAACTGAGTCCTGATATCACCTCTGAGGCCACTTCCTCCGTCTTAACGACCAACGAGATTTCCAGGGTGTAAGCTCCCAGGTTCAAATCCCCCCTCTGCCATGGAAGCTCTGCTGGATGTTCTTTGGCCAGGAAGTCTCTCTTTGCTTGATCTACCTTCACAGGGCTGCTGTTGCAAGGATAAAATGGTTTGTGTGTGTGGGGGGGGAGCCCATGTCGTAATTCTCTCGGTATTCCCCACTGGGGAGGGGGGGGAAAGGGCTATAAACAGCTAAATAAATGAATAAGCCCCCTCACCAGCAACAAAAACCAAAAGGGGATCCATGTCTAGAAGAAACACCCCAAAAAACCGCTCGCCTGTCGCCCGAGAAATCCTGTACCGAAGCCCTCAGAAAACGATCGTTTTAAGAACGCGTGGAGATTGTTTCCCCAGCCCGAGAGGCGGAGAAGCGTGTGTGTCCTGCTGTGACTGACCTGTGATTTGTTTGCCACTCCGGATAGGTTTGCTGTTTGGCTGCTCGGCATTTTCCCACCTGGCTGCGTGGGCCCCAGCGAGACGTCCTGAGCCACCGTTCGGCTGGCTGCCGTCTGACGGCTGGCCAGCTGTTTAGAGGTTTTGCACGGCGTCCCGTCAGACTCCTGTCAAAGATAAGAGTCCAACAGTTGGAACACGCTGGATGCTGGCGACGCAAAACGCAAGTCGAGCATATGCTGAAATGAACCTTTGCCGAGGCTTCAAACGGCCACTCAACTTAAGAACGTAAGAACATAAGTGACGCCAATGTTGGATCAGGCCAAAGGCCCATCCAGGCCAACACTCTGTGTCACACAGTGGCCAGAAAGACCAGGTGCCATCAGGAGGTCCACCAGTGGGGCCAAGACATTAGAAGCCCTCCCACTGTTGCGCCCCCCAAGCACCAAGAAGACAGAGCATCACTTGCCCCAGAGCCCCTATCTATACCTTGTGGCTAATAGCCACTGATGGACTTCTGCTCCATATGCTTATCTAATTCCGTTTTGAAGCCGTCCATGCTTGTAGCCGCCACCACCTCCTGTGGCAGTGAATTCCATTCTTCACTCTTTGGGTGAAGAAGGGCTTCCTTTTATCCGTTCTAACCCGACCGCTCAGCAATTTCATGGAGTGCCCACGAGTTCTTGTATTGTGAGAAAGGGAGAAAAGTACTTCTTTCTCGACCTGCTCTATCCCATGCATAATCTTATAAACCTCAATCATGTCACCCCTCAGTCGTCGTTTCTCCAAGCTAAAGAGCCCTAAGCGCCTTAACCTTTCCTCACAGGGAAAGTGTTCCAGCCCTTTTATCATTCGAGTTGCCCTTTTCTGCACTTTTCCCAAAGCTATAATATCCTTTTTAAGGTGTGGTGACCAGAACTGCACACAGTATTCCAAATGAGGTCGCACCATTGATTTATATAGGGGCACTAATACTTCTGCTGTATTTTGCTGCCGGCCCTCTGAAATTATATTTACTGAGGAGAGGAAGAAAGCCAGAGTTTTGGGTTGGTCCCCCAAAGCCACGTCCAAACCCAAGAAGCATTTGCTTTTCTTTTTCTTTTAAAGTAATGGATACAAGGCCCTGAATGGGCACTCTCCTGCTGCACTCTAGCACAGCCGTGAATACCCCTCAGCGGAAATTTCCACCCGTTATTTTTCTCACCCAAATGGGAAGCTGGTGTGTGCTTCGGTTTAATGTCAGATGGCTGCAATAACAATCCGTTTTGGATCCTGAACGTCACCAGGGTCACTCTAAAGCAGTGCTTTGCAACCTATGGATCCTGACCCAAAAGTGGACCGTGAAACCTGGGAAAGCCCCCCCAAAAAAGGCTTGTTCATTTTTTAAAAAAACGTGGGTCACCGTATCAAGTAAATTTGGACGTGTGGGTCACCATGCCCAAAAGGCTGGCAATCGCTACTCTAAAGTAAGCCATTTGAGAAAATGCACCAGCACTAGAGACCATTCTGATAACACTCGTACCCTCTAGGAACTCCTGGTACCCAGGGAAGAAGACTAGCAGGCCTTTGCTTCTGGAATTCATATGGAATTCACCGCCACAGGAGGTGGCGGCGGCTACAAGCATGGACGGCTTCAAGAGGGAATTGAATAACATATGGAGCAGAGGTCCATCAGTGGCTATTAGCCACAAGGTATAGCTAGGGACTCTCAGTCTGGGGCAAGTGATGCCCTGTATTCTTGGTGCTTGGGGGGGGGGGGGCAACAGTGGGAGGGCTTCTAGTGCCCTGGCCCCACTGGTGGACCTCCTGATGGCACCTGGTCTTTTTGGCCACTGTGTGACAGAGGGCTGGACTGGATGAGCCACTGGCCTGATCCAACATTGGCTCCTCTTATGTTCTTCTCTTCCCTAAGCAAACGTTTGATAGATGGGCCACGGCTGCCAAGAGAAAAGCCAGCTAATGAGAGTGCTGCATGAAGCCCTGACCTGGACAGTCTAGGCAAGCCCGGCCTCGTCAGATCCCAGAAGCTAAGCAGGGCTGACCCTCGCAAGTAACTGGAAAGGAGGCCTCCAAAGAATACCAGGGCCTGGATGGAGGGCAGGCAATCAAGCCACCTCTCTGGAAAACATCCAAAACCCCACTAGGGGTTGCCAGAAGTCACCATGACTTCCAGGCATGCAAGCATACAGACAGTTTTTAAAAGGCTCTGCCGACCTGTCCCCCAGACGCTCTCTTGCTTCGTTGCAAGAGATCAACCTGAGAAGCGGCTGCCCTTTTCGACACTGCTTTCGTCAGCCGTCTGCGGCTGTTTATAAGCAAAGAGCCAAACTGTATCAAAATTCGAAACAAGAGATCAAAAAGGCAGTACAAGAAAGCCCGTTGGCATACCTGAAACTCTGTAACCTAATGTTACTGATAACGGACAGAATCGATAACATTCCCACGGCCCAAGCACTTGTTATTGCAAGTCCTTTATTAGGAAGTCATGGGCACACAAAATCTTTTAATAAGTAACGATGGTACATAACAGAACTCTGCAAAAAGAAATTTAGTGCATTTGGGATGACTGGCCACTGCTCACCTCTATCATATCCCTTTCTGTAAAGCATCTCCAAAAAGCTCCCAGAAATCACTGCCTGCCATTCCCTCCAAGGACTGGTTATCCCGGCGACCCACTAACCTCTCCGATACACATTACCTTAATCAGGGGTCATTTCGTAAAAAAAGAGCTAGGGGAACTCATTAGCATAACTCATTAGCATATGCCACACCCCCTGACATCACCGGAAGTGTGTCATAAGGCCACACCCCCTGACATCACCGGAAGTGTGCCATAAGGCCACACACCCCGCCGCCCCCAACGGTCCCAGCCGCCGCTGCCGGGCTTCGTCATGTGCCCCGCCCCCCGTACCTCACCCAGGGGAACTGCGATCCCCCCCCCCGAAATGACCTCTGACCGTAATGATCTTTTCTTTTTAGGGGGTCCTATTTGGTTCTGTGCTGAGCCATATTTGGCTCCAGAGCCACAGGCGGATCCCTGGCTTATGTAACAAAAGGAGGAGAGGCGAATTATTTCCTGGCTATCACCCCCTTCTCCCGTATCCCCCCCCCAAGTCACAGCTGACTTGGGGTGACCCTGTGGGGTTTTCAAGGCAAAGAGACTTCAGAGGGGGTTTGCCATTGCCTGCCTCTGTGTCACGACCCTGGGCTTCTTTGGTGGTCTCTCATCTAAATACTAACGAGGGCTGGCCCTGCTTAGCTTTCAAGATCGTACTAGTCTGGGTTATCCAGGTCAGGGCCTCTGATACTCTAAAGTTAAAGGTAAAGGTTTCCCTTGCCAGTCAAATCCAACTCTAGGGGGTGGTTCTCATCTCCGTTTCCAAGCCGAAGAGCCAGCGCTGTCCGAAGACATTTCCGTGGTCACGTGGCCGGCATGACTAAACGCCAAGGTGCACGGAACGCTGTTAACTTCCCACTGAAGCGGTACCTATTTATCTACTTGCAATGTCTTGCTTTCGAACTGCTGGGTTGGCAGGAGCTGGGACCAGAGACAGGCGCTCACACCGTCACGCGGCACTCGGGTCTCCAACTGCAGAACTACAGACCTTCCAGGCTGCAGCTCAGCGTCTTAACCTCTGAGCCACGGCGGCCACTTTCCAATACTCTAGTAAAGGTAAAGGTCTCCCTTGCTCGAAAGCCAGTCAAATCCGACTCTAGGGTTGTGGTGCTCATCTCCCTTTCAAAGCTGAAGAGCCAGCGCTGTCTGAAGACGTTTCTGTGGTCATGTGGCTGGCATGAATAAACACCAAGGCGCACGGAACACTGTTACCTTTCCACCGAAGTGGTACCTATTTATCTACTTGCAATTTCTTGATTTCGAACTGCTAGGTTGGCAGGAGTCCAATACTCTAGGGATGCCTTATATCAGGGGTGTCTAACACAAGGTCCAGGGGGCAGAACCGGCCCATCCAGGGCTCTTCTGCAACTCCCGAGCAACTAGTGCAAGGGAGGGAATAGGAGGAGACTGCTTGAGGGGGAGTGGGGGGAGTCACTCCAATTGTGGCTGCAGCACGACGGGAAAATCTCGTCTGCAGCAGTCAAGCAGCGTGGGAGTGCCTGCCCAGTGCCACACCGCTGGCTCTCCAGTCCACCCTTGTGGGTTTTCCTTTGCACACCCCTCCTAAGCAAATTCCCCCTAAGCTGTGGAGTCTCGTGAGCAAAAATTCTGCTTTGTGAGCTACTGGCATTGAAGCTGTGCGTTAGCAAGTTGGCTGCTACATCAATTAGTTTGCTCTGGAGCCATCCCTTCCTGAGCTAAGACAAAAAATGTGTGAGCCGGAGGCTAAAAAACTGCTCCCAAGGCCATGAGGCCTTGCAGTGAAGATACACCAATTCAGAGCTCACCAGCTGCTATCCTTTATACAGTTTATATTTACGGTACTTGGCATTACATTTATGACACATATGCCCCGACCGACAAAGTGACATTTATGTCAGATCCGGCCCTCGTAACAAATCAGTTCGACACCTCTGCCTTATATCATCTACGGGATACATCACCAGTGGCCTTTACAACCCTCTGCCGCTGCTGGCCTCGGGGTACTGGGGAAAGGTCCAAACCCTACTTGGGCACAAGCCGGCCTTTCGCGTGGGTCCCGGCCACCACGTCTACGATCCGAAAGTTTTTAATACATACTACATCGCTGGAACTGGAAAGCGTAGAAGACGATGACGACAGAGGTCCCGAGGAAGAGTTTGATGAGTGCTTGCTCGGCGTCTCAGAGGTTTTACTTCTGGGTTTTCCTAACGACTCGCACTCCTCGGAAAGGTTATTGTTGCACTCGTCTAGCTGCTGGTTGTCGATCGGGGTCACCCCGTTCCCTGGAACAAAGGCAGTCGGAGAGCAGGATGAGCGGCGGTTCACAAGTCACTCCCACCTGTAAGGGGTTTCTGGGGGTCAGAAAACGGGCCCTGACAAATTTTCTTTGGCTCTAGGAGCCAGCCCAAAACCTTCAGAGCCGGACTCCTTTTTCAGTCTTTAGGGTTCCGTAGTGTAATGACCCACACTCTTCTAGCTGTCAGAGATGAAGCTTCCCATAACTGCTTTATCATGTGAACGCGCAATTTTAATTGTGATTTGTACGAACAAGGGGATGCTCTCCTCACACTTCCCACTCAAGAAAAAGCATCTGTTTTTCTGTTATCTGTTTAAGTGGGAATAAACATGCAACCCCTCCTGGCATGTCCTTTAGGAAGAAGAAGAGAATAGATTTACACCCCGCCCTACCCTCAGAGTGGCTGACAATCGCCTTCCCTTGCTCTCCCCACAACAGACACCCTGAGAGGTAGGTGGGGCTGAAAGAGTTCTCAGAGAACTGCTCTTGCTCTCAGAGAACTGTTCTTGAGAGAACAAGCTCTGAGAGAACTTGTGACTGACCAAGGTCACCCAGCAGCTGCATGGAGAAGAGTGGGGAATCAAACCCGGTTCCTCCAGATTAGAGTCCACCACTCTAAACTACTACACTAAACTGGCTTGAGCTTTGACCTGTATTGTTCAGAGTTGCATTCTAAAACCACGTTATGAGGTGTGGCATAAAGTGCCGTCAAGTTTTAGGTGACTTATGGTGACCCCATTGGGTTTGCGAGGCAAGAAATAGTCAGAGGTGGTTTGCCATTGCCTGCCTCCACGCCATGACCCCGGAGTCCTCTGGTGGTCTCCCATCCAAATACTAACCAGGGCAGACCCTACCATCAAAGCAGAAATACTGGGGTGGACCCAAAGGATTGGTTCAACTGCACACAGAAGAACTCCTTTGGATTCAACTCTCCCCCCCCCCTCCATTGGGAAGGCTCACCATTGCATGAAGTCTCTGTGCTGTTCTGCACCCCCCTCTGCTTGGATATCCAGTCTCTGTACGTCGCCACTTCTTGCGTTACTCTGATTATTCTTCCTAATATACTGTATTTTAAAGAGAAAGAAAAGGGTTGAAAAACATTTTAAGTGGCATTAGGGAGGGGGCGACACGTGGCATTAATGGATTTTTTTAAAATAGCATTTTTATTGAGTTTTATATATTTTTACAACCTGTATTACTTGTTAGTTGTATACAGTATCTTTCAACAATATCTAATAAACAAGAAGAGAAATGTTAACCATACGCACAACACTTATTAATAAAACACAAAGTCTCTATATTTCTGAGGTAGTGCATATAATCGGGGTTGACAAGCAGTAAGATATTCAAAAAACACAAACCATTTTTCTAAAAAATTATTAATGGATTTGACTCGGAAGATAAAACCTTCTACCTTTCAGTTTCGTTGTTGGGGTAATATTTAGCTATCGGCGATACTGCGTGGCTCAGGACGACGTATGCATAATCGAAGGCTTGCTTCACTTGCATGGCACCGTAAGAGCTCCTCCCGACATCGTTGCCTTAAAGAGAAACAAACACATCGTAGCGATAAGGTCAGGCAGCAACAGCAGCTCATCTCTTCCGGTCGCTGCCCCAATTGAACACACAAGAAGCGGCTTTACACTGAATCGGACCATTGGTCGATCGAGGTCAGTATTGTGTAGTCTCTCTGGCCAGTGACTCTCCAGGGTCTTAGATGGAGGTCTTTCGCATCACCTACCCATTGATGCCTTTTGACTGGAGATGCTGGGGATTGAAGAGGGGTCCTCCTGTGGGACTGCCCTTCATCCCATCCAGGCTTTAAAAACTAGGGCAGCAGTGTTTAGCCAGTTATTTTAATAAATGAGTGATTAACACATGGACAGCTTCAAGGGGGAATTAGCTAAACATATGGAGCAGGGGTCCATCAGTGGCTATTTTTTTTAAAATAACATTTTTTATTTTGTTAAACAACATTAAACACACAAACATAGAACACCAATGAATACCATAGTACATAGCCCAATTATAATGATTCAATCAAAATACCATTAATTAGATTGCATGCGATGAAAAACTTCATAGTACTTTGAAGGAACAGTAAATTTGGAAGGATCGGTATTGAATATAAATTCTAAGAAAGGAAACCATTTCGTGTAGAGATTGGATTTCTTATATGAAACATTGCTTGGGGCCACTACATCAGACAATTTGTCCATGATATAGTAGTCCCAAACTTTCAAACGTCATTCCAAAGGTCTAACAATACAAGTTCAGGTTGCATAGGTATCAGATGACCCGTAATACTTTTAATGGACAGGATAACCTTGGACCAGAACTGCTGAACTTGAATGCACGACCACCAGCAATGGAAAAAAGTACCTGGTTCACCACAAGAACGCCAACAAAGTGGGGAGTTTGAGTTGGATATTTTGTAGAATTTCATAGGGGTGAGATACCATCTGGTGATAATTTTGTAGCTGTGGAATTGTATAATAATGACTAAGAGTATAGGGAAGGTGAGGACCAGATCTTGTCCCAGTCTGAGGATGTGAGAGTGGTGTCACAGTCATTTTGCCAGGCCCATCAGTGGCTATTAGCCACAAGGTAGTGATAGGAACTCTCGGTCTGGGGCAACTGACATGGCTACCCTCTAAAACTGATTAGTCAGGAAGCAGATTTATATTTAAAAACCCAAATGTGCTCTGAATGCTATTCCAACAATATGACTATCGTATTGAAAGATTTCCAAAAAGAAAAACTTGTAAAACTAGATTAAGACTGGAATGGTTTTGATTTTCTGGTATTGTGTGTCCCAAGTAGCACAAATCTACAGTTCAGAAGGTTTTTGCCTTCTGCAGCCGAGTAAACACCAGCCGCAATACCTGGTTGAAGCGGGTCTTCGATATAAAGCATCGATGGTCTGTACCCATCCAGCATATTCTTCTGCACTTCGTCCTTGGCCACGTATGAACCGCCATCCTTTATTCGGATGCCTGTTTTCAAGTAGTTGAAATGACGCCCGTATAATTCAAAAAACTCTATTAAAAGGACACCGTAGTTGGCATTGGGCGTGCAGGCATCTTCCCTGGGATGCAGCTGGTGGGAAGAAAAAAAAAAATATATATATATATATATTTAATGTTTTCTCACAACAATCTCCTGATTTCTTTGCTGGCCTTTGCTAACAAAAAGCTCATGGTGTGAAACACAATTTCATAGCTTAGCGCACTTGAATGACACGCAAAAACGGTTTGTTCCACTTAAGGCCCATTGAGCAGAGAACTACTTTCGATTTGAAATGAATGGAGAAAGTACATTTCTCCGTCTCTCTAAAAAATTACAGCTAGAGCATCAGCTTGAACTGAGACAACAAAGTTCAGTGCACTTAATTTGTACCGGAGCGCGTTCTGGGTTTGGCTCTTAACTCACATTCGGCAAAAGGCTCTAATCCCACACAGCCCACCACCAGGGTAAAATGGGAATAAACGATGTGCGTTCAAAGGATTGCCACAAAGGATGAATGCAACACGTGCAGCACAGCCTTTTCTGTGGTAGCCCCGCGGAACACACGATGACCTTCTCCACAGCTGCTAGTTTGGCACTTGGCCTTTCGGCCTTCGAATGCCTCTCAGTCCTCAGCCCTTTGCTCAAGGCCCGGCATGCCAAGCAAGCTGTGGCCTGGGAGATGCGGGTTTAAATATCTCACAATATTACTGTGTGGATAGATCCATGAGCTGCTTGACAAGAGCCGTTAGGAAGATAACGAACACACCCCACTGGTTTGAACAGAGTTGTAAAAATCGCACTGGAACAGTTTATTGCCTTTTGTCTCAGGGGTACATGATGCTACAACCTTGGTGAAGCTACGCTGGTCTAAGCCTGGTCAGTATCGGGATGGGAGAACACCAGGGGGAAACCCTGTCCATGCCCACCTTTCAAATGGCGGTTTTCAAAACCCACAGTGTCTTACACCCAACCGGTATTCTTGCAACCAATGCTCCCTCTAAGCTGTGGATTCTTGTGAGCAAAAGTTCGACTGGCATTAAAGTTGCGAGCAATTTGGCGACTGCATAAATCAGTTTGCTCTGGAGCCCTCCTTCCTGAGCTAAGGCAAAAATGTGTGAGCCGGAGGCTAAAAAAACTGTGTGCTAGCTCACACTAACTCAGCTTAGCGGGAACACTGCTTGCGACCCGCGGTTCTACAAGTTTAGCCATGCTGGGTCAGGTCAACAGTTCATATATTCTGGGCATCCCGTTTCCCAGTGTGGCCAACCAGTGCAGACCTTTTCCCAGTAGAACTTGGAAGAGGAACAGTATACTCAGGTACCATTAGGAAACAGTTCTGCTTATCAGACTTACCTGGAGGAAGCTGACAGCCATTAAAAAAAGACTATAAGAACCGATTCCACCTGTGAATACTTCGTTGAGGTCCCGCTGCAGCAAAAACTGTTTCAATACTAAAACTAGATATGGCAATACAGGATATTTCTGTAGGAGAAGAGAGGGAGGAAAAGGGAGTCAAGATCTGCGGTGATTACAGCAACTTGGGGAAAAATAAAAAGAACATTCCAAATCCAACAGCTGCTACATAATGCAGAAAGGGAACGAGCCGACCAAATCCGCTGCACACCAGGGACACTCCAGAAATTGGGGGGGAGGGGGGGACACACCAACCAGGAGTTCAACTAGGAGCCACACCATCCACCGAGGAGTGTTCCCTGTGCCCTGGTTTGCCATCTTTGCTGCCAGCCTGTGCCCTGGGGGTCTTACTATCGTGTCCTCAGCCGTACTTGCCGTATACCAACGAGAACTGAGCTGGTGTGAAAACAGCCATTCAAACAATCACCCAAGTGACATCATAAAGAACTGTCGCTCTTTACTTAATAGGTTCCAGCGTTTTATATGTTTTAAATGATGGTTTTAATTTTAAGTTATTTATATGTTTGCTGATGTTTCAGCTGTACCTGCTTTTATGAATGTTGTAAGCTGCCCTGAGCCCGCCTCGGCGGGGAGGGCAGGGTAGAAATCAAATAAACACACAAACAATAGCGGGAAGCGGGAAGCAAGGCGTCTGTAAAAGCGAGCCTTTTGTTTTTCAGAGCTAGATTCGAATCCAGAAGCACCTTGGAGACCAACAGGATTGTGCAGCTAGAAGCACTCAGGAGTCAAAGCTCCCTTCTTCAGACGCAAGTGCTTTGACTCTGGAAACACCCCAAAGATCTTGCTGTTCTCTAAGGTGCTACTAGACCTGGATGGAACTCCTCTACTGCTAACCAGCCCCGCTCCCCACTAACACTCTCTCTTATATTTCTGGGGCACTTCCGGAGAGAGGGGTTTGTCTCAGCCCTGTGCACACTCAATTGCAGCCACTGACATTTGCGAACTACATTTCGATTGTATTAAATATCAAAATATGAGGGAAGTTTTGATCAAGCCTATAGTTAACTCCTTTCCAGGTCGTAATAGAAGGATACTTTTGTCAATTATGCTGGCAGGGGATAACCAAAAGCTGACTAGGATGGTTGCCAAATTTGGTTGGTTGGCATACCAAACTAGGAAAGAAATAAAGTACAGATAGGCCTAAATCTAATTTCTGATTCTAATATTGATTTTATCATGTCTGTATTTTAAAATTTTTAGATTCCTATTTATAATTTTAGATGCCATTATATTTTATAATTTTATTGCTCCCTTATCTGTACTTATTTGTCTTCTATTATACTGGTATACGACCATAATAAAGAACTTTGACTAACTACATATGGACTGCTCTGATCTCTGCGATCACGACCAGTTTAAAGAGCAGAAATATAAGGACTATCTGTGCACGAGGGCTCTGCCCCGATACAACTACGGCACAAGAGCAATCTGCCGCCTTCCTTTCCTTGAGATGCCCCCGGCTCAGTGCTGCCAGAGCCACACGGGCTCTGTATTAATTCAGCAATATTTTTGTTTTTCCGTCCAAGTGGTCCTTTCCCCGGCCACTTCCACTGAGTTAACACTGAAAAATATGTATATGATTTAGCACACCAAGGCATTCAGAAGGCGTGTCTCATAATCTTGAAAACAGGCAAGGTAAAGAAACCAAAGAGCAAAATTGGCTACTCGTGCTGCTTACTTAATGTCCCTGGCTGGCAGTACTCCCTGTAAGTTGTGGAGTCTCGTGAGAAAAAATTCTACTTTGTTTCTACTGGCGTTAAAGTTGGGAGCGAGCAATTTGGCTGCTGCATAAATCAGTTTGCTCTGAAGCCATCTTTCCTGAGCGAAGACGACAATGTGCGAGCCAGAGGCTAAAAAACTGTGAGCTGGCTCACACTGACTCAGAGGGAACACTGCTGGCCGGTGTAAAGTTGCTCTTACCTGTGCATATTCATAGGCAGAACCACAAAGAGTTAATTGGCTCACAGCAACAGTCCCCCTAGCAAGTTACCTGAAGCTACACATACAGCACCTGGAAATATACCACTCATTATCAAAGTGGAATTAGTCTATCCTGAAGACAAGACCTTGCTTGTGTTATTTCAGAAAACTGATCTCAAATCTGAAGAATATACTGCCAGAAGATTAAGTAAGGCTTTCAGAACAAACTTCCTAGATGCAAGGGGGGGAAACTGTCCTCTGGCACCCTCTGGTGGAAATAATGCAAAGATACAACACTCCACATAGGTGGTTAGAACCAATATCCGAATCCCCGGGGAAGAAGAGTCTCCTGGACAGAGCCGGCTCAAGGTGTTTCTGCGCCCTAGGCGAGGCTGTCTTATGGCGCAGATGCCAACCTCCCGCAGATGCCAACCTCCCAGCCACCCTTTTGCTGCTGCCACCACCGCCTCCCCCCCCCGCCACCACCACCACCAAAGGAGGGGAGGGGAGGCACAGCTTGGCGCCCCATCCAGGGCCCGGCGCTCTAGGCGAATGCCTAGTTCACCTAGTATGTGAGCCGGCCCTGCTCCTGGATCTTCCCCCCCACACATCTCCTCTGGCATCAATTGCCACGGCTTAACCTGGCAAGCAAAAGTTATCCCTCTGTGAATAACCCTGGCAACTCCAGGGCTTGACTGGTCTCCCAGGAAAGGGGTCCCCCCCCCCAGGCACCATGCTCATGATGTATCCTCCACATGCTCGAGGGAGTGGGGGCATTCTGCTCTGGACCACTTCCAGGCTGATTTCCACAGGAGTACAAGGTATGGGGCATACTTATCGGGAAGTAAGCCCCAATGAAAACCATGTGACTCCTCCTTGGCCCCCCACAAGACTGTAGTGTAATATAATTGGGGAAAGGACTCGGGTAAAGCCAAGGTGCTACCAGAATCTGAGCACCAGTGCCCAATGGATGTGCGCTGGGAAGCCAGTCATTACTTGTCTCCAAACAAGGAAAACACAACATATTTGGGTGTGCTTGAAAAATTAAAACTAAAACACTAGTCTTGAGACAAGAAACCTAAGAGCTCCACATATCAGCCTTGCGTTAACCAATGAAAAATGTGTGTCTTCTGTCATTTCCCCAGTTTCCTACTGACTTCCTTAAAGAGAGAGCAGACAACAGAGGTACTCCAAAGTAGCAAGGACTGAACTATCCATTCCATTATCCCCTTAGGCACTGAAATGGACGCTAATGCAAAATCACTGGCCCACTGAAGTCAGTGTTCTCTACTCAGACCGGCAGTGGCTCTCCAGGGTTTCTGGCGGAGGTCTTTCCCACCACCCACTGCCTGATATTTTTAATATCAGTGATGCTCTGTCATCTTGGTGCTTGGGGGGGTCAACAGTGGGATGGCTTCTAATGTCCTGGCCCCACTGGTGGACCTCCTGATGGCACTGGTATTTCTGGCCACTGTGTGATACAGAGTGTTGGACTGGATGGGCCTTTGGCCTGATCCAACATTGGCATCTCTTATGTTCTTATGTTCTTAACTGGCGGTGTCAGAGATTGAACTGAGACCTTCTGCATGCCAAGCAGATAGCTTTCCCGCCGTTCCTCCTCTTCCCCCCCCCCCCAGAAGCCTAAGGCCTGTGCCTTGATTTATGCTCTTCTTACTGTAAGGGCCTTAGAAATAACATTACTGAATTAGGATTTATGACATGACTCATAAGCAGCGGCACTTCCAAGGAATAAATACTTAACTTGGGAAGTGACTTGGCACCACACCACACCTTTCAGTTTTTTTCAGAGGCACAGTTCTACCCCTTAGGCTAAAAAACAGAAAGTCCCAGGATGTACTAATATATTATCCGTACAAATTATTTAGATCTCTCACTTGGCTTCCAATTTTTAAAATAAGCTCAGGTATCAAGCTTCTTACAACCATCAGATTAATTTATATTAAAAGCAAGGCAGGGAGGGGAAAAGAACTGCAATTATCAGGATTAGAACACGCCGGGCCAACACAAACGGCTTTGAAGCCCTCACTGCTTAAAGCTTATTCTTAATGGAAACGTGAGCCTTCTCTACCTACGGCTTGAAAAATTTTCTGTATGTGATCGCCTAACCTTGATAAAATCTGCGATGAGATGAGCAGCTTTTACCCCGTTCCGTACATTGAAGCTGATGTCGACTTTTACTTCGGTAAAGGAATCAGTCAGTTTAATAATAGGGACCTGAGAAAAGAGCAAAATATATTTATCAGTGAGGGGGCGGGAGGGGCACTGGTTCAGCGATATATTTCGTCGACTGTGTGGAACCACCGCGCTTGGTGAAATGAAAATGAGAACCTGTACAAAACCCAAACCAATGGAGGATTAAAATAAAAATAAAAATCACATTCTCAAACATAAAGCCATTGCTTTTTCTTCCCAAACAGACAGCAGGGGGAAATAGAACCCGACAGAATCAAACTATTCTTCCTACAAACCCTGCTGGTGAAGGATAGGGAAGCAAGGGGGGGTCTTCCGGTGTTACTTCTCAAAAACAATGGGGCACGTTCAACAGCAGCATCTATGTGCAAAGAAGACCTGGACATTACACAGGTCACCAGTGCCACCACTAGCTCAAGAGCAGAGTCACCAAAATACTTCAGTGGGTGCTGTTCTTCCCTGGGGGAGAGAAGTTTGGATGCGGAGACGAAAGGGTATACTAGACCTTCCTGGGTCTCCCCTATAGTCACTCTGGGCTCACTTCTTAATACTCAACACGGCGGTGTTGGTGTTTCTTCTTGAATAGAAGAAGAGGAGATTGGATTTATACCCCCACCCTTCACTACCCAAAGGTGTCTCAGAGCGGTTTACAAACTCCTTTCCTTTCCCTTCCCCTCCCCACAACAGACACCCTGTGAGGTCGAAGAAGAAGAAGAAGAAGAGATTGGATTTATACCCCCACCCTTCACTACCCAAAGGTGTCTCAGAGTGGCTCACAAACCCCTTTCCCTTCCCCTCCCTGCAACAGACACCCTGTGAGGTGGGCGGGGCTCAGAGAGCTCTTGACAGAAACTGCTCTTTTTTCAAGAACAGCTTTATCAGAACTACGGCTTGCCCAAGGTCATCCAGCCAGGTGCAAGTGGAGGAGTGGGGAATCAAACCCGGTTCTCCCAGATTAGAGTCCACGCACTTAACCAAACTGGCTCTCTACACCAAACTGGCTCTTCCCCACCAACCAATTAACAACTCCAGGAACACATGAACCTGCCTTACTGGTCCATCAAGGTCAGTACTGTCTACTCAGACTGGCAGTAACTCTCCAGGGTCTTCTGCAGAGGTTCCCTCACATCACCTGCTGCCCGATTTCTAACTGGAGTCCCTGGGGATTGAACCTGGGGCCTCCCGCCTGCCAAGCAGATGCTCTACCGCTTGAGCCACAGCCCCTTCCGCCCTTGGCCGGCCTAGAGCATGGGTGCATGCGTTCTGCTGGTGATCATTCGCCAGCAGAAGGAAATTCATGCGTGGGACCTAGGACAACCTCATAATGTGGGCAAGGAGAAGTCAATTCCACCTCGCTATGTATTCCTGCAAGGGCAGGGGGTCCTCCTGGCTCCAACTGAGCTCCATGCTTAACCATATGTCGACTTATTTACCAATGTGATTCTCTCTCAAATATCTGTATACTATTACATCTAACAGGGCTCTTTTTGTAGAAAAAGCCCAGCAGGAACTCATTAGCATAATAGGCCACACCCAACAGCAGGAACTCATTAGCATATTGGGCCACACCCCTGACAGCACAGCTCATTAGCATACTAGGCTGCACCCACATGTTACCAAAAGTGTGGTCATCCAGCCACACCCACCTTTTGCTTCTTATTCTGTTTACCTTGTTTGTTGTCAAAACCCAGGGCTTTTTTGTAGCAGGAACTCCTTTGCATGTTAGGCCACACACTCCTAATGTAGCCAATCCTAATGAGTTCCTGCTGTTGGGTGTGGCCTATTATGCTAATGAGTTCCTGCTGGGCATGGCCAACTAGGGAGCCAGCCGGAACTCCGTTCCTGTGCGTTCCTGCCCAAAAATAGCCCTGCATCTATATAATGTACTATAAGCAACGCGTGACTCCCATCTAAATCTGTAGATCCGGGATACACAGTCGCTAAGAGGATTGCAAAAAACAAAACTGAAATATAAAAGGGGGGGGGGGTTAACCTCCCCCAATGCATTTGCATCATCTGCTCTTATCAGCTCAGAAGGAGCCGCTCCAGCCTGGCCTGGTGATGGGTGTCGGTGGCTGCAGCTGGCAGCCGTGCCACACCAGGCCCAGCTGTGGTGGCCGAGGAGGCCGGGCTTGATCGCGGGTGGTGGGGCTTGGAGTCATGCCAGGCTCGGCGATGGGGGGGAGCGGGTCGGGGATCAATGCTCCCTCTAAGCTGTGGAGTCTTGTGAGCAAAAATTCTACTTTGTGAGCTACCGGCATTGAAGTTGTGAGCAAGCAATTTGGCTACTGCATAAATCAGTTTGCTCTGGCACCATACTTCCTGAGCTAAGAGAAAAATGTGTGAGCCGGAGGCTAAAAAACTGACCTAGCTCAGACGGAGCACTGGTTGGGATTTCCCTCCCACGAGTCTCCTGCCTCGCCAAGCTGTAAGAAGGGAAACGTGGGGAACTGGCAGCAATGGGGGGGGAGGGACTCCCTCCCGTGAGTACCGCGGGTCCCCACTTGTACGTATCTATATCCCTCTATCTCTATATATATGGGTGGAGGTGGAATCTGCACAAAAATGAGAATGGAAGGAGCAACAGCGACAATCATTTACTAATTTTAAGGAGCAATGTCCATCAGACCAAGGGCAGCTGCACAAAAAGACTACAATGGAGTTCCCCCCCCCCCCCAGAATACCATTTTATTTTTGAAAAAGAAAAAAGAAGTAACGACTTACAGTTGCTTTGTCTAAAACCTTTACTGAATTTTCATCAGCTACATTGTGCTTTCGGAGAGCCTCTTCAAGGGTCCAGAGAGGCAAATTCTCCCATTTTCCAAACACAACTAAATCGATATCACTGGAATGAAAAGAAGGCAAATGTCAAGTGAACGACTCTTCATGAAGCACATGCAACATTAACAAGATGACTGGATCTTTTCTGCACAGAACCTAGAGCAGAGACCTGACACCTATTTTCCTTGCTGGGGAAACTTGTCAAGTTCACACTCCTGTACGACCTAGAAGTCCCCCCTCAAGCCTTACAGGCTGCATTTCCTGAACTGCTTCCTAACATGAAAATAAGTGTATTCTCGCCAGAGAACACAGCCTAACGCTCCAGTCCACCAGACTTCGGGGAAACATGTCCCAACTCACTATGAGATAAAGAAATCTGCAGAGGCAAAGAAAGCAGGAGACATATTATCTCAACCAGAATGGCCCACATGGGATTAAAGTCCTCATGTGACACAATGTGGTCAGGGTTTGTTGCCTGAAAGTGCATGGGGCATTTCAACATCACAGCACTACTCCACCAGTTCAGATGTAAAGCGGGGGAAGCACACAACCCTCACAATTAAGACAGTCTCCCCCTCGGAGAATGTGTCAGGACAGGGAGGGGAAGTCTGTGTTCCAATGGAACTGCGCAACATCAAGCTGGCTGCCACGTGTGTGGAAAACGACATCGAGACGCGGCCAACTTATGGTGGCCCCATAGGGTTACATACAAGAATATTGCAATAGTGCAACCAATACAAAATACTGTATAACCAATGACAGAATAATCATTCCATAATATTTAATCTTTTCCTTTTTTCAATGTTTTTGGGAAGTTGTATGAGTATGCTGAAGCAGAACTGTATGTATTCTTCAAATTTTTGGCAGTTTGTGTAGGAGGTTGGGATGTTTTCCTGGTATAAGTAATAATTATGTCTTTTGTCAGGATGTTTGTATGAAAAAGAAATATCGAAACGAAACGGTTACTCCGGGGAATTTGTCCTTCACTTCTTCATGACGTCTTGCATGTTCATCTCGCGGCGTCTACATTGAAAAAAAAAAAAGATTAAATATTATGGAATGATTATTCTGTCATTGGTTATAAAGTATTTTGTATTGGTTGCACTATTGCAGTATTCTTGTATGTAGCACGATTGTCATACTGCTACCCAACTTGTTTGTTAATTGTGGCCCCATAGGGTTTTCAAGACAAGAAGCGTTCAGAGGCTGTTTGCCATTGTGCCTGCCTCTGTGTAGCAACTCTGATGTCCTTGGTGGTCTCCCATCCAAATTCTAACCGTGGCCGTCCCTGCTTAGCATTCTAGACTGGATGAGATCAGGCCACCCAGAGCCATCCAGGTCAGAGCTCCACCCAGGTTATCTCTGGAATTGAATCCAAGCCTGGGGGGGGGGGGGGAAGAGAGATGCTCTTCAGCTCAAATACAGTGAAAGACAATTAACCTCTGCTTACCTAGTAGGTAAATATAAACCAGTCTTAAAACTTCCAAATATCTGCACCTGTAAAACAAGGGAAAAAAGTTACATCCTTCATCATAAAATATATGGCAGGATTAGTAACACTGACAACCGTTGCCCTCACTTGCTCGAAACCTAGTTGAATCTGACTCTAGGGGGTGCTGCTCATCTCCGTTTCCAAGCCAATGAGCCAGCACTGTCTGAAGACGTTTTCGTGGTCATGTGGCTGGCATGACTAAGCGCCGAGGCGCAATGAACGCTGTTACCTTCCCACCGAAGTGGTCCCTATTTATCTACTTGCAATTTCTTGCTTTCGAACTGCGAGGTTGGCAGGAGCTGGGGCCAGAGATGGGAGCGCACTCCGTCATGCGGCTCCCAGGTCTCGAACTGCCAAACTACAGACCTTCCGGTCTGCAGCTCAACGTCTTAACCTCTAAGCCACCACGGCAGAATCTAAAGTCTGTGCACATCAAAATTCTGGATGCGTCCTAACCGCTCCACAGTGCTAGCCCTAAACATAAATTAACAGTTATTTTGGCGAACAGTATCAGAAAGTTATTTGCAAGTTGCTCAAAAGAAAAAAAAATCTAACCACTTTTTATATTTCTACATGATACTACTGAGAAAACTAAAGTCCTAACAAAACAGTCTGTGGTGATGCAAGGAAAATTAAGCTACTTGTCTCTGTTCCATTATCTCTCAAGACTGACTTTTCTGTGAACAAAAAAGCTTTTAATGATGTAAGCTCAGTTATACTGGGAAAAGAAGGGCCATTATATCTTAATCCATCCTTCCCACGTTGGATGAGTGGCGCACCTTCAGTCATCTATTCCTAAGCAAAATCTGATTTCCAACTTCAGCTCCTATTACTTCCCACATTTTAGCTGCTGTCTTTAAAGAAACTAGATGAATACCAGTGCCAACAGCATGCTGGAATCTGTGCAGAAATGGCTCCAGAAAACACATATTTACAATGTGCAAAAGTAGCTCTAGCACAAACAATCACGGTAGCTGAGCCAGCACAGAGTAGTGGTTACGGCGTCAGAGACCCAGATTCGAATGCCCACTCCACCTTGAAAGCTCACTGGGTGACGCTGGACCAGTCATGCATGCTTAGCCTGACCCACCTCACAGGGCTGCTGTGAGGGACAAATGCAGGGGGGGAAAGAACACCGGAAGCCGCTTTAGGTTCCCACTGGCCAAAAATGTGGCGTATAAGGAAATAAATAACAATGTGCCATCAAATCAACTGGGCACACTTAAACTGATAGAATCAGAAGCAAATTTCCAAATCTTCTCAGCCCAGAAACACTATTATTTAAAAGACATATTTATACTACAATCTAAAAGAGATATTTGAGAGTCCTGGACTTTCTATAGAGCTATATTTACTGGAATAAATTCTAATTCTCTAAATAGAATTCATTTTTTTGAGCACAAGATTAAACAAACATAAATTTGTGATGGCACTTTACACTGAAAACTGGTGGCCAACCCCCAAACCACCCATTTTGACCAGTCTTCCAGATCTTTCCCAGTAACCACTGTCTGAGATTCGTTTAAGACGCCCAGGACTAAATCTGGAATCTTCGCATCCAAAGCAAGCATCGGCTACGGCCCCCACCCACCATTTTACAGAGGCCAAACTTTCCTCCCACCACCAGCAAGTTTTTAAAGCACTGAAGGTCTCACACACTCCTGTCGGAATAAATTGTGTGTAAGTAGTCCAAACAATAGATTGCTCTACCTGGGAGATCGAAACTAGCTCAACGAATGCCCGAGGTGCCCTTCCCACCTCAATTCCTCATCAGTGAAAACAGGCTACGCAAAAACGATACCATCACATTGGTCCCAAATCTAGTATTAAAACATGAGAACGCTGTACCGCAAGCCATGGCAAAGTCCAATGGTGACACTTATCTGACAATCCTCGACCTTAGGGGAGGGTGTCGAGGTGCACGGAATGCTGGCTGGCACGTCAGTGCCCAAAGGGAGTTAAGAGTACCCAAAGAAGACTGGAGTCTAGAACTTAGGTGCAAACACACAGTGAATTTATTCACACCCAGCCTCCACCTATATACAGTTCTTAGTGTCAAAGTGCTCCGCTGCAATCAATCCAAGTGAGAGAGAAAGTCCACTGTACGCTCTGTACATATATACAGCCTCTGGCCAATCAGCACACAGCTGATGCAATCCAGGTGCAATGCTCAGTGCCAGGCTGGACTGCCTTAAACCGGTTATAGCCAGCCTCCTTGCAGTCACATGCTGTCACTAGAGCCAGTTTGGTGTAGTGGTTAAGTGTGCGGACTCTAATCTGGGAGAACCGGGTTTGATTCCCCACTCCTCCACTTGCAGCTGCTGATGTGACCTTGGGTCAGTCTCAAGCTCTGGCACAGCTGTCCTTGAAAAAGAGCAGTTTGTGTCAGAGCTCTCTCAGCCCCACCCACCTCACAGGGTGTCTGTTGTGGGGAGGGGAAGGGAAAGGAGTTTGTAAGCCGCTCTGAGACTCCAAGTGAAGGGTGGGGTATAAATCCAATCTCTTCTTCTTCTTCTTCTTCACTAGCTGTCACTCACTCTGACACTAGATCAAACCCATCTAGGCCAGCCTTACCAATACAAGTGAATCACGACAGAGGGATACTGTGGAAGCGGAAGGAGCAAGAGTCATGGGGGGGGGGGTACTCCCACAGTTCCCTGCACACACCTCTCCCCACCCCCTCTAACGTATTCCTAGGCACATACCAGGTCTCCTACACAAGAAACGTCACATTAAAGATAAACGCCAAGTTATATTTTTTACATCTCCACAATGTGGGGTCTGTTCCTTTAAAAACAAAACCACCACCACCACAAAAACACCTTTCATTTTCACACAAATGTAACGTCAGCCGCGTTGATCTCTACTCCAGGATAATTAAAGCTCCTCTTAGCCACTCACTGCGGAGCGCGATTTAAGCCAAGAGAGCTCTCACTTACGAGGAATGTTTTTCCGTCTAAGAACATTCCCTAGAGCGGCTGAACCAATGACACAATTGCTGGCTTCTATAAATAAAACCATATTTTCTGAAATACTAATTTAATGCCATCATGTTTTTAAATCCTTTTTTTTTTTTAAGCACTCCAGGAGAAGTACAAATATTTAGGGGGGGTTTGTTGTTGTTTTTTTAAAAAAACGCAACCCTCTAACTTCTCCACCGCCATCTGAATGCTCAATGAGCCTTTAATCAGTGCTGGAACGGGAGAGGGGAACTATTTGGAAATCTCTTTCTGGAAGAGAAAAAAAGGCAGAAGTATTTTCATTGACAAATTTGAGTAACAGCGAGTTAACTGGGAAGATGCTGAATTGGACGGTGACCAGGGCAGGGGGCGGTAGAGAACACACAGTGGATTTGCACAGCTGTTCCTTGGCTAGTAAGTGATTTACAGAGTTTTTTCAAACAAATCTCAGGACCTGCATGGCTATTCAGTCGCAGCCTTTGTTTACAATGGCCCGTACAGTGCCCTTTTGAAACTCACTGCGGTCGCTGCGTAGCAAAGAAAAATTTCAAAGCTCACCACCGCCAAAATTCAGCAAAATATTTGCTTTTGACACTGTATTCTGTGCGTTGAGGGTAAAGGGCTTTCCAGTACTCTACCCATCCCATATGTACATATACTTTTTTTTTTTTAAGGTCTTGGAGAAGAAAGTAAAGATGATCCACAAACAGTCAAGTGGAAGAAGATGTTAAAAGGGACGATGGCAAATGAGAGAAGGAGGCTTGTGGTAGGACTGAATAGGGCTTTAAATGGAAGATTTGTGGCTCTTTTGTCTTGGGGGAGGGGGCTTCCATTCATCAGTAGTTCCTCAGTACAGGAAAGGGCTTCACAACAAGTTGCTAGTATCTTTGCCTCGGTTGCTCCCCTCCCAAAAGAGGGACTCCCACTCCTTCCTTTCTGGGTTTGAGGAGGTATAAAATGCGCATGCAAACAATTCAGAACAATCCCATTCCGAAAGATGAGTCACGTACTTTTTCCTTGTTTTTGTTTTTTTTAAATCAACCCACTCAAGTTATGAAAACGCATCTTGTTTGTATCGTTTTATTGCAGACTTCAGGGGTTTTCTGTTTGCGAATTCAAGGGTTTATACAGTACAAAGAGACCTCTGCAAGTAGGATTTTAGCCAATGCCGAATGTTCATCTACAATTCTTGACAGGAAGTGATGGTGCAAGAAGAAAACAAACACCAGAGCGGCACAGAAAAAGGTGCATTTTAAACAGAAGCGGCAGCTCAGGATAGCGAAAGGGGTGGTTGGGTCTTACCTCTGCATTGGGCCAGAGCTCCTTTATAACGTTTTCTATCCTATTGACCACCTCCATCCGCATCCTTTCCTCTTCGGATCTGGGAGACATGTACTTGTAGAAGTCAATAATCTCTTCATGAAGGCTGGAAGAGATACATCAAACAAATTATGCAACAGTATTCACAGATCACACAGGGAAGCCATTGAAATCCATAAACATAAACACAATTTCAATAGGAAAGAAGAGAGTTTAAAAATAAACAGGGCATGGTTTCCTGTCCTGAAAAAACACATAATGCTCTACATCTTACAACAGCACTACAGATAAGATTAGAATTTCAACGGCTAATCCTTATGCAAAAGAATCTCCTCAGGAAAGCTCCTTCATTAGCATGCTCACAGCCTGGGGAACTCCTACAAGATAATGACTCAGCCCTACCCCACCTTCCTGAGTAGATATAAATTACCTGCCTACCATTTTTCTTCTCACATTGCCACAGAGAGTACTCCGTCTTTCTGTGTTATACCTCTGAGGATGCCAGTCACAGCTGCTGGCAAAACGTCAGGTTCTACAATGCCAAGACCACGGCCATACGGCCCGGAAAATCTACAACAACCAATGAACTCGGGCTGTGAAATCCTTCGACAACACAACAGTATTCACAAAGCTTAAGACCCTATACACTGAGAGGTTAACAGTCTGAGCCTACGTACGTTGACTTATAAATCAGCCCTGGATTACACCTGAAGTGCTGCCAGTCTTAGGGCTGCCAAGTGGGGGGCGGGGGCGGGTAAACCCCCGCTTTGGAGGCCCGATTTCCGCTGCCGTGGAATCGGGCCCCGGGGGGACCCCCCCCCCCAGCGGGCCCGTCACTTCCTAGTGATGTGCATGCGGCGCGCGCTTCGGGATCCACCCGGGAGTCCCCCGCTCCAGAGGTGAGTACTACTTGGCAACCCTAGCCAGTCTAGCAGAGCCATTGTATGCCGAGTCAGTCCAGTCTAAGCCCACCAATTTCAATTGACTGAGCCTGGAGTAATCCTGGAAAAGGACTACACTGAGGAGGACGTAGAAGGTTTTAATTATAATTTATTACAGCACTGATATCCTGCCTTTCCTCAGGCTTCCAGACAGCTTACAATAATAGTTAAAAGAACACACACTCGCCGTCTAAAACCAAAAATGAAAGCCTAAACCCCAGACCTCTCCCCCCCTACTGAATAGATGCTTGCCATTCCAACCCCCTCAAGAGCCCTGGAATAGAGGGAGGCCTCGCAGCACCTCCTGAAGATCTCTGGGGAAGGGGCCCCTCCCTCACCTGTTCAGGAATCCCATTCCACAGAGCTGGCGCCATGATGGTAAAAGGCCCTGGTTTTGTTTACTCGGAATCAGCAAGGGCAGAAATAGAGACAAATGCCTATTTATTGCATTAATATTTTGCCTTTCTTCCACTCTGATACCGAAGATGGTTTAAAGAGAATTTTCAGGCCCAGCCTGACCCAGTGACATCTACGTAAGTGTTAAAAATCACCCTGAGTTTGAGCGTACAAAGCATGAAAGTCACCTATAGCGATCTCAAGACTCATTCAAAGAAGTGCTAATGTGACCAAAGCAGAAACAGTACTCATTTGACCCTGGTGTAGTGGTTAGGCGTGCCAGTGTGGTATAGTGGTTAGGAGCGAGGACTCTAATCTGGGAGAACTGGGTTTGATTCCCCACTCCTCCACATGCAGCTGCTGGCGTGACCTTGGGTCGGTCACAGTTCTCTCGGCCCCACCTACCTCACAGGGTGTCTGTTGTAGGGAGGAGAAGGGAAAGGAGATTGTCAGCTGCTCTGAGACTCCTTCAGGTACTGAAGGCTGGGGTATAAATCCAATCTCTTCTTTGCTTCTTATGATGCTATCTATGACGGCAGGATGTGGTGGCTACATTTAGGCAATCTAGTGCTGGCTGTTTCCTGTCACGCATACTAAGAGAATCTGCATGTCCTTACTATCACAACACAGGCCAACCTATTCACCTCATCCTGTAGCAAGGAGTTGTGGGTCAATGGTTGAATCTTACCCACCCAGGTCTTCCACTAGGTCTCCCTGTGATGAATCTGGTGGAAGGAAGTTGTAAGCTCCAACAGAACACAGGAGTCCAATCCTAAATGCCAAACTAGACATGATAGTACACCCTCCCCCCCCCCCCATTATAAATTAGCAATTCCATACCGTTGCTTTGGAGATCAGAGAGTGGTAAGGGAAGGGAATTAGTAAAACAAACAGACACCGTCCTCACAGAGCTCCCAAATCACGTCTAGTCTGAATGGTTTTCATCATTTAGGTAAACTGAGCTATATTTGTGACATGTCTATGAAGCCTCTATTAAGCAATGTTTTTGGTGAGCTCATTTCCAAATGGCACAGGGGTTTTCTTCCATCCATAATGCAATTCTCTGCCATGCTTTCCACTATACAGTGAAGATACCTTTAAGGGAAAAAAGGAGATCCTTGAAAGAGAAGGCAGGGTTTTCTAAACGTAACAGGAAATTAACGCATCCATGAAGTTCAAATGTAGAGGGAAAAGTCTCTCCTGGAAAACTCATTAGTCTGTCATGACAGACTAGCAACAGGAATTCCACTAATGAGAGGGAACTCCAGCCACACACTTTCCTGGAAGACAACCGGCTACAGCAAACCCAGCTTGTTTTCGTTAATGGTGTTCCCAGGTATCCCCCCCCCAGCCTCAAGAGCTCAATCTCTGTAATGGGAAATGGAGCCTACTGCATCTCAATATCCACGGGTCTCAAACATACTGAACACAGAGGCCACATTCAGATATTAAGCTGGGAGGTGCACAGACCCTGTTTTGCTGCTGGGCTCACGTGTGCCTTGTCCCTCTCCTCCTTCCCTCACCTTCTCATGCGGAGAATTACGGTTAGAAACCATCTCCACTTAGCTGGGAGTCCAATGTTCCCTCTAAGCTGTGGAGTCTTGTGAGCAAAAATTCTACTTTGTGAGCTCCTGGCATTGAAGTTGTGAGCGAGCGATTTGGCTGCTGTGTAAATTAGTTTGCGCCGGAGCCATCCTTCCTGAGCTAAGACAAAAATGGGTGAGCCGGAGGCTAAGAAACTATGAGCTGGCTCACACTAACTCATCTTAGAGGGAACACTGGCTGGGACCCAGGAACACAGGAGAACCACAGTGTTTTCTTGCCACCCTCATTTGCAACCGCAATGCAGGTTTTGGTCCAGATATGATCAACAAAAACCATTCACACACACATGACTTTACGGTCATGGGAAGGGGGTGTGGCTCAGCGAAAGAACCTCTGCTTTGCATACGGAAGGTCCCAGGTTCAACCCCCATCATTTCCAGTTAAAAAGAACAGGCAGCAGGTGATGTGAAAGATCTCCACCTGAGATCCTGGAAAGCAGCTGCTGGTTCTCAGCAGACAATACTGACCTTGATTGACAAATGGTCTGATTCAATATAAGGCAGCTTCATGTATGGTCTAAATCACAGATACATTAAACACACACACACACAACTAAGTTTTCCCTCTATACACTTTGATTCCAAGCCCAGTTTCGAACCCCTGTCTGTAGACTGATGAAAGGGAAACCAACTCCCAATTTTACCCTCGCACCTGCGGTTGTACCTCAAGGGTAACTAGAACTAATTTCTAACAAGGATTCTCCATACAAGACTGAGCACGTGTGATCGAGTAAAAAATAAATTTTAAAAAAACCAAACAGGTTGTGCAATTCCTCATTTAATGACACAAGTGTTGTGACGTCTGAATGCAGCCAGGTCCTAGAAAGGAAAAATAAGGAGTTAAAGACCCACGCGTTGTCTGCATAGCACAGCCCAGTATTAAAAGGGGATGGACCACTGTGAGGCTTGGTCTCTTTTAAACCCCAAGGGCCTGTGATACTCCTGCCTGCTTTGGATAAACTTTTGAGTATGGCAGAGAACCAAAAATCAACACTGTAAATACTAAACCAAAGCCATATTCTAATTTAAAACAAACATCGGAACTTCTGAAATCACCCCATTGTGGCGAACAAAACTCTCTTGTTCCAATAAAGCCAGCAGTCTACACCCAGCAGCTAAGAAACACAAGCACTGTGTAAAGGCTTTTATATGAAAAAAAAATGTATAAACATTTATAAAAAGCTGAGAATGCACACCATGTGTTCTGATATCACAATAAAAGGTCTAAGCGGCCTGTGATCCGGGTAACTGACAAACAGATTATTCCCTACAAACTTGCCCCTATTCTCTGAGAATGTTTCCATCCTGGCTCCAAGTACCCCGGCCTTTGGAGGCTGGGTCAACAGCCACGGAGGAGCAGAGCCTTTTCTGTAATGGCTCCCCAATTCCCGGAAGGCCTTCCCCAAACATATTTCCTTTGACACCCACTTTATCATTGTAGGGCAGAGGTGGATGCCATTTTATTCTCCTAAACTTTTAGCAATATACAACTACAGATCAGCTGGGGGGGGGAGGGGGGAGTTAGTGGATCTACTATATGTTGATGCTGTTGTTTTTAGACTAATTGCGCTTTCGTTCTTGTATCATTTTTGCATGTCAGTCACCAAGGTGGGAGACCTGAAGGTGAAAAAGCAGGGCATAAATATATTTTAAAAATATTTAAAACTCGTATTTAATATTTTAATATCAAATATTTAAAACTGATCCAGTGTCTAGAGGCTCTTAAGAGTGAGCATGGGAGTTAATGAGATGAAGCTGAATACAGAGAAGATCGAAACAACGACAGCCAGAGGCCCTTGTGGATTAGGGATGCCAGCCTCCAGGTGGGACCTGGGGATCCCCTGGAATTACAGCTCATCTGCAGACTGCAGAGGTCAGTTCCCCTGGAGAACACGGATGCTTTGGAGGGTGGACTCTGTGCCACTGTACCCAATCGACGTCCTTTGTCCTCTCCAGGATCCATCCCCAAATCTCCAGGAGTTTCCCAACCTGGATCTAGCAAGGGAACTCTACCCCCCCCCAAAAAAAAAAAACCTGCCAGGGGGGGGGGGGGGGGGGACCTGGCAACCCTATTGAGGATTGTAGAAGAAGAGTGCAAGGGTGTCATGGATGGGGAGACTTGGCTATGGGGCTACATGTGTTACATTCCAGTCAGGGGGAAAGGC